GGGACCTCACGGCCAAGTCCACACCACAGGCCATCATCAGCAATATATCCCTTCTTCCAAAGCCTATTTCAGAGAAGCATTTTGAAGAAAGACTCATTGCCTTACAACAGCAAAGAACCAAGATCCAAATGATGATGGATTTTCCTGGAGACAGCCAGCAAAGTATGTAAATAGATTTATGCAAAGTGTACACATAAATATTACAAAGAATTCATTTCTGCTGCAGTTGTCCACCGCCCTCAATATTACATTTAGCTAACTTAATTTTCCGTGGATCAAATTTATTCAAAGTTAAATTTCTCTTAATAGGTCATTTGAGTAAACAGTTTCAAGTGTTATTTGCCAAGACAATGATACATTTCCCGGCTGCAGATGCAATCGGCAGTGTCAGGCAAAAAAACAACCTTAAAAATTCACAGAGAGCTGGAATGATTGCAGAAAAAAAATCAAAACCCTGGGTCAGTCTTTTTTAGGCTATTTTAGAGGTTAAAAAAAACTCACAAGTTTCTATCAAAACCAGGTCTTTTGAGTGGCAGAAGAAAAACACCATTTTTTAAAAACATCTTAAATGTATAAAGCAACATATGTTTAAAGTGACAGAAAATATACAGTGATCATGCCATGTCAAGGTTATCATAAGTCACCAACAGCACAGGACCCAGCGTGGTAGCCTAGTGGCTAAAGTCCTCACCTTGCATGCACAGGGATCCCATATGACTGCTGGCTCATGTCCCAGTGGCCCCACTTCCCATTCAGCTCCCTACTTGTGGCCTGGAAAAGCAGAGGACAAAGGCCCAAAGCCTTGGGATCCTGCACCAGTGTGGAAGACTAGAAGAAACTCCTGGCTCCTAGATTCAGATTGGTTCAGCTCCAGTTGTTGTGGCCTCTTGGGGAGTGAACCATCAGACGGAGGATCTTCCTCTCTGTTTCTCCTCCTCTCTCTGTACATCTGACTTTCCAAATAAAATAAATATATCTTAAAAAAAAAATAAAAGCACTGGCATTTTGCAACAGGACCTGACACCCTGAGCATCCCTGGCCCACAACCTGGGTGCTGTGGTCTTTTCAAAAAGGAGAGGGAAGGCAGGGTGGGAGAGGGATGGAGGGAGCAGAGGTGGGGCTGAGGAACGGCATGGCATTTTGTAACATGAAGAAGTTCCTGAGCAAAGTGTCTGTCTCAGGGTAAAAGGTTTTGTGAGTCTGCATTCTTAGAATATCTAGGAATCAACAAGTTTGTGCAATAAAAGAGATGAACCAGGATTTATTTTTCCATTGGTCAAGGAATGAATGTCTGAGAGCAAGCCAGCCCCTAATTCCCAGAGGAAACACAATTAGACTAGAGGCAATTCAATCTCCACTGCTTGAGTCAATGGCTTTACTCAAAGACTGCTAAACCCAGGGGTCCCTGGGACACCTTAGGAGTGGCCTGTGACATCAGAGGTGGCCATGGGGCATTCCTGATGAGAGACCTCAAGGATCTGAATGCCAGGTCCCACATGGCTGCAACACCCACTGACATCCCAAACACTCCAGTCCCTATGTAACCATTCCTTACCATCCCTCTGATAGAATCCCATTGAGTAGATGACTGCTAATAGCATATTCACAAATAGGCAGGGAGTCTACATGGAAGACTTTTCAGGGCAGACACCACTGCAGCTGATCATTACAAGCAATATACAAGGACACTGAGCTTGCAAAGGAAACTGGGAGATGTCTGGTCAAGGTCCTGACCCCGGCTCACTCCAGCGCCATTCTCCCATCCAACACTAAATTACAGACAGAAAAGACAAATATTATCACAATTGCAGCCCTCAATCAGTGATCTGACTCACTGCTTTGATGTTGCATAAAGTATCACTTTGTTCAAAGCTAAGAAACAGATTCCTGACAGCACTGCAGGGAGGGCCATGCGGATCTGTGACAAGGTTTCCACTGCACTGTCTTTAGAAGCAGGTGACTTGAGCAGTGACAAATACTTCTGCTTCTTATTGTTACTGCCATGTACCAGCTCTTCAAAGCCTGAGACTCCAATTCACTATGGAAACATGCTACAGAATGTATCCCTAAGAACCATGATGACCCATCCATAATCAGGAAACGTGGTCCCCAGCAGACAGGACACAATTCTTCAGTAGGCTCTTCCTACAGAGAAACCAAACACAGGCTACTGCATTCTACTGTATGACATCATGGTCAATTCTCACAACAATCAGCAAAGGTCTGAAGAATGACTTCAATTGACAAAGAAGTACACAGGGGCTTGGAGAGCCTGACATTACTTCTCTCAACTGGGATTCAAATCTGGTGAGCAGGACTCCAAAACCCACTTAGAGAGGGGCTGAGATCGATGCATCCCTCCATAGCCCTGAGACGCCTGCAGTTAAGCTGCAAGGATATTTCTCCAAAGACAACTTAAAGTTCAAGATCAGCCTGTGCAACAAACCTTTCTGTGCAACAGGAACTGTCCCACAATCTGTGCTGTCCAATCATGGTAACCAATAGCCACAGACTGCTGTTGGTTACTTGATCTATGGCTAGTCCAATTAAGAATCTCAATTTTTAATTTTTAAAGATTGACCTATTTATTTGAAAGGCAGAATTAGAGAGGTGGGACGGAAATTCATATACATCCTCTGATTCGTTTCCTGAATGGCCACAATGGCTGAGGGCTGGACCAGGCCAAAGCTACGGGCCTGGAACTCCATCTGGGTCTCCTATATGGTTACAGGGGCCCAAATACTCAGGCCATCTTATTCTTTCCCAGATGCATTATCATGGAGCTGGGTCATAAGCAGAGCAGCCAAGACCCAACAAGCACCTCAGCAGAATGCTAGTGTCACAGGTGCAGACTTAATCCACTGGGCCACAATGCCAACTGCAGAAGTTAATTCATATATCACCATTGATTGATCATATCCGACAGCACCATTGACAACATTTTACACCAATGATATTCAAAAAAGGGAATGGTTCCAGCGTCCTGGGGTGGCCTCAGCAAGGCTTCAGGAAGGACTTGGGCTTGAGGACCTTGCTGTGTTAGGAACAGACTAGGACTCTTCCTGTCTCTTATATAATCATTTTCAGGTTTCAGGACCAAGATCCCCAGAAATTAAGCCTTGAGTCACCAGGTGAAGAAATCTGGTTCCATATTTTTTTGGGGCCTGCTCTACATAGCTTGACTGACCTCCCATCCTGGGGTCTCTCTCTCTCTCTCCCTGTCTCTGTCTCTCCTCCTCCCCCACTCCTACCAACCCCAGCAGGCACCTGGTTTGTGCCCATCTTTGCTATTCGTGAAGCTGAGTCATTTCCTCTCTGGGGATGTTTTTTAATCCACTGGATGCTTTCACATCTGTCACTCTGCAAAAGGCATTTCCTCACCCACTGAGCACAGCTACTCACAGAGAGACCACCTCCTGTTCCCCCAGACCACAACCCTAACAACAGGACACAAAAGTCTTCCACTCCCATGCAACTCTGCATGTGATCAAAGCCAACACCATTTCTGATCCATCCTTTCCTATACAAAAGTGATAACTGGATTTTTGAATACTGTACTTCCCGTCTTAAGGCCAGATTAACCAACAGGGATCCTGCCAAAGAACCCCTGCCATCCCTGTTACATCTCTTCTGATGACACACCTGATTCAGCAGCCAGAGCTCAAGTACTGAAGCCCTTGTGGCCATTTTCATTTTGAGCTAACAGAGCTGCCCATGGCTTTCACTAGTCATCAAGAATGGGAGTGTTGAGCCTACGACTCCATGCAGCTCTCAGTCTTTTATATAGAGGAGTACTGGGTTTGTAGGGATTTTTGGAGGGGTGGGGAAAACTATTTTTAACTCTGGAGTACTTTGCTTTTGGAGCTGATTGTTTAAGATCCTAGGTGTGGCAGGGAAGGGCCCTTCTCCCTACCTTCCCCACAAATGAGGAGATACTACCGAAACTCCTGAACTCCAAGGCCTGTGGTTCTTTGCCACGAGGATTGTTTATGTCCTTATATGATAGCACTGCATGCGAGAGCAATGCATCACTGAGCCCCTGAAGGGGGCTCCAGGGAGTGGCCACGCCCAAGTCAGGCCCCAGACCCAACATATCCCACACAAGTGTCTACACAGCCCATGAACTAACAATGGTTTTTAAATTTTAAATGCACTGCATAGTTTATTTTAAATAAATGTATCATAGACAACGAGATCATGTGAGGGTATTGTAAAAGTTCATGAACGAAAGAGAACTACAAGTTGATTTGGGCATCAAAAAACCTGATACCTATTCCTAAGTGTTTTTAATAATGTGTATTTTCCATGAACCCTCTGAAGAGCCCTCATCCTGGGCCTACAAGGCTGGCCTCTCCCAAGACCCAGCGCCTTCTTTCTGTTCCAACTCTCAGGGAACTCATCACAGCCCAGAAGGCTTCATGATCTGGGTTAGGACCATCCCTCATTCCCTTGACTTTGCTGTGTGTTGCCTTTCTCAGAAATTTTTGAGGCCGAATGTTGTACATCTTTCTAAGAAAACACACAATATATAGCAAATACAACAAACGACAGACCAAAATTCACTTCTTCAAAGAACAGCAATAATTAGCATGAAGACTTGGCCCAGCCTTGTGTCTCTACTGTGACAAAAACAAGGCTCCAGGCACGAAATCAGCTAGAGACGACCTCAGGGTTCCAAACCAGCATGGCTACTAGATGTCCTCCTGACTCAGTTTCCCCCTTGCCAGCCCAGCACCAGCCTCCATGCTTGTATAGGTCCTGTGTTGGAAAGAACACTTCTCAACAAGGCAAAGAAAACAGAAGCAGAAACACATCATCACCACCTCATGGGATCTCACCTTTATGTTTCTTAGACACCTGCCCTGGATATTCCTCAAGACTCCTGAGATAAGAACTTGAATTAACAACAACAACAACAACAAAATACAGCATTTGACTCATCCTCAGCCATACCCAGAGGAAAAGGCAGCTGCTGCCCAGTGGCACAGCTGTCATCTTACCTGGTTCGGTGCAGTTCTTGCTGCTCAAGAGCCCTGCATCTTCAGAAGTAAGAGTGTCATTCACTTGCATCAGCTTCCTCCCCACCATCCACTTTCTGTCTTCCCCAATGAGGTCCATGAGGTCAAATTCTAGAGAGAAACAGAGAATAACCACAGGTTATCAACCTTTGGATTTCAGCCGTGACTAGCATTGGGTGCCAGTGGACACTGGTCAGTCCTGCCTGGAAGAAAGACCACCTGCCTCTCACTGCCTGAAGACTGCTCTGGCTGCTGGAGATGACTGCAGACCACAGAGCAGTCCTCAGTCAACAGCAGGTGGAAACTGGGTTGGCACCTCAGTGCTTGAGTGGAATGGCTTGCAGGTGTGCATTCTTAACAAACTTACAGAGCTGTCTCCAGCGGGATTTACCTCCAATTGTCTATATTAGAAGTCTCTTGACAAAACACACCATGTTAGTTCCTATCTCTAGTCTGTTCCCAACAAGATGCTGAGAATTGTCTCATAACCAATCCCGCAGCTATGGGCCAATTTCCCCAGTGTCCATACCCCTACTTCAAGCAACCAGAATGATGTCATTGAAAATAAGAGTTGGTGGGGTTGCACCATGATGAAGTAGGCTAAGCCCCCACCTAAGGATGACTCAAGTCCTTGAGTCCCTGCACCCAAATGGGAAATCTAGAAGAATTCCCTGGCTCCTGGTTTTGGATCAACTCAATTCAGGACATTATAGCTATTTGGGGAGTGAATCAGAGAATGGAAAATAAGTTCATGAATCTCAACCAATCTCTCTCTCTCTCCCCCACTCTCCGTGTGTGTGTGTGTGTGTGTGTGTGTGTGTGTGTTTGTAACTCTGCCTTTCAAATAAAAGTAAAATAAATGGCTTTTCAAAAATAAAATAAAGTTGGGAAGAGACAGTTATTATCAATTTCATTTAGAATGAGCTCGCTCCGGCTCAGCAACATCTACTCAAACCAGTGTTTCCTTGAATTACCTCACAAAGAAACCACTTGCATTTGAACATTTTCTTGGGGATCTGTTTCTGGGAGATCCTCCAATAAAAAGGCACTATTCCACCAGCCACAAAGCACAAAATAGAGAGGTCAACACAGTGTACTTAACATACAAGAGACAAGGGCATGATCTAGGAGAAAGCAGACCCCAGAATACACATTAGAAGATGAGCATTTACCAGTGCCCAGGTCTCTAGATGACTGTGGAAGTGCTAGGAGAAATAACAGAGGCTGAAGAACACTGTAGAGAGGGGAAGAAGATGCTGTCCATTCTGTACAGGATGTGTGGCATTTGAAGGCCTGCAGAGCATCCCAAGGGAGGCTTGGATGGAGGCAGAGTGTCAGGACAGGCACAAGAGAACAGGGAAGGGCATGTAACACATGTATGGGTGACCTTACAGAGGGTAGAAGGTGGAGACTAAAGAACCCAACCTCCCTCCACCCCAGAGAATAAGGAAAGTAAAGGAAGTCAGCAAAGGACTAAGACAGCCAGGGAAAGAAGGAGGAAGCCTGATGTGATAGGTTTCCAGCAGAGAATTCAAGAAAGGATAGTTCATAGTCTGACCTTGGTGAACAAATCCAGAACAAATCCAGCAAGACAAAAAGCAGAGGTATGGCAGGGCCTGAGGCCAGGGTCTGGTAGAGGAGGAGAACAATCAAAATGCCTCCATCTAAAGGCTGGGTACAACAGCAAGAAGAGGCAGCAAGCGATGGCTATCTCATGAGTCTCAGGGATGCTAGAGTAAGGTTATAGATTTAAACATAGGACAAGGGTCCAACTCATGGACCCCATGGTTTTTCAGACATGTTGTTTTGAAGAGTCAAGGGTCATCCTATCCACTCTTCTGTTTCTATGGTGATTGATGGTTTCTCAAGTTATTTCTCCTTTATCACTGAATCATGACACTACTCAGTGTCTCCCCATAACACCAAGCACCACTGCGTCAGAATGACTGCTGGATAAGCATTTTGAAAACATTACTCACATTCCACAACACAGAGTGAGTGAGACTCATGACAACATTCAGAAATCACAATGCTTCTGGGCATCTTTTCCAACCAACCAAGATATACCTAATACCTATAGATCACACATCAAGGTCTTCCTCAAATATATCCCCTGATACAACTGGTGGAATTATCAAGATACAAAATTACAACTTCTAGATATGGCCAGGAAAGCCCTACAAAACAAAAATGACGAATGTAGAATATGGAGCCCAACTTGGATGAACAATAATTTCAGAGTCTGAAATACAGACACCTGTATGGTAGCCAGTGTCTTGGTATACCCAAAACTGTCAGAATTATCTAAGATACTTCAGGGCAAAAGCAACATTCTGGCTAACTTTGACGACTGGCTGGTTCTGTGGACTCCAGAAAGCAATCTAAAAAGTAAGTGTAACACTCTATTACCATAAACGGCTCCAAAGTATGCGGAAGGCATCATCTGTGCCTCCAGCCAACTTCCCCAGAAGCAGCCCCTGAGAGGAGGACTTAGGAAGCAGGGTTTCTGTGGAAGGAAATTCCAGGAAGAACCATTAGAGCCATGGTGCAATGAGACATGGAAGACGGGACAGCCCATAGAGCACGTGAATAGGATGAATCACCTGCAGCTTAAGCCCTCGGAAAGCTCAGGGACCAATGTGGGCATGCAGCAACCAGAGATGCAGCAACCAGAGATGAGAGTCAAGGGACCAATGTTGACACACATCTAAGACACTCAAAGGATGAGGGAGCATGGGTATTTATCCACCTGCTTTTGGTCTTCCACTGGCTGAAAGCTAACTATTCCCTGGAGTCTTCATTCCTTTACATCTTCAATCTGCCATCCAATAATGCATCCAATAATGAGACGCAGGTAATAGAAGCTGTATCATGCCAGTGTATACTGTTGTGGCTGGAACAATGTGATGTGGGCAGAGCATTGTAACATCTGTCAACCTGTATGGTAGCTAAAGATTCACACAAAGTTGGGCAAACTGGCTGCTCTATCCCTCTCATAATCTGGGTTAGAGAAAGGGACTTGTGGTAATAGGATACCAAGCTTCTCAGAGACCCTAAAGATCTGCAAAGAAGTAAAGAAGTATCCCTTCCAGTGACTTCCAAGGTTGGTGCGTATGCCAAGTTTCCATGGATCTGTAATTCTAAGAGAAAAGCTGATATCAGTTAAGAGATGTAAAAATAAAGCCAACTATTGTAGCAGAAAATCAGGATTTGTTAAACATGATAATTCAATATCTTCAGAAATCAGAAGTTATTAAGACAACACCTCCAAATCCCAAAACCCACAAACTTACCTCAACAAAAACATATCTGACCACTGTCCTTTGCTAGAACAGCCCAAACACCAGATTCTGGGAAAGCAAGGCTTTGCAGTCATTTCTCTGCCACCAAAAATCAAGTTTGACAGCACTGTTCCGTTCATTCGTCCTCACAACACTCCTGGGGAGGCAGGGGAGCAGCTAAGTCTGGCTGGGGTCAGCTTTCCTTTGGGGTGAATAAGTGAGTGCAAGTGATTAGCTCAACCTAAGGCCGGAGCCAATCCACAACCAAGTCACTCACCCTTTAGCTGCCATGACTTCCATATACTATGACATATGAAGAATTTTCCAATCTTCACCATATGGAAATGTCAGTTCTCTCTCACAAATAAGGAAAGTGGAGCACAGACAGATTAAATCAATTGCCCAAGATCACATAACAAGCAGATGGATGGAACGAAAGTTGACCCCGGATCTGGTGACCCCAAAGGGTCAAGTTATTTGTAGATACTTGCATACATAGAATGAGATCCATCCTGATGGTATGACACAGCTTGCTAAAGTAGATTGCAATATATCTTGCACTTTATAATACACTAGGCAGGAAGACTGCCTCAATTGGACCTGTTGCAAAGATGGCTGTTTTTGCCCAGAAATGGCCAGAAATCACAGTGAAGTGTGAGCACTCTACATGTGTGTCATGTACATTCCCTCTACTGTGTGTTAATTCCCTAGAGACAAGGCTGGTCCCACTGGCCATGACATGGATGGCTGGTTATATCAGGGAATTTCCAAAAGTTCATGGAAAATAGAATTAAAAGGAAACTTCCTTCTGATACAAAAATGCTTGAAATCTATGCCTCTTTTATTCTTTTAGCAGCAGGCGCTATCTGTGAACTGTTTATAGATCTTCCTGTTGTCTTTAGGGAGAAGGGGAAGAAGCGGGTGGGCTGCAGGGAAGGCCCAGGTCTGGGGAGCGGGCGACGAAGAACACAGCACAGAGAAGTGCCCACAACCTCACTGTGGTCACTGCTATTTCCTCACACACATCCTCTGCTTCCTTGGGCTTCTCTGCTACTGCGAAGAAGCTGCTCTACAGAGTTACACTCGAGCAATGTCAACAAAAACACTTGGCCCTCATCCATGGCATTCTTGGCTCTTCATCTGCCAGGCCCTGGAAGTTGCATGTTGGCCTAATTACTCAGAAGAGGCAGTCAGAGTGGTGGGGAGGAGGAAGGCGATGGGCAAGGGGTGGGGGTGGCAGTCAAGAGAGGAAGGCAGCAGGCTCCCATGTCACATATCACCAGCAGAGGTGGTCCCCCTGGCTGCGAGGCTCTGAGATGGGGGAGAAGGGTGGGGTGGAGTGAAGGGGGCCAGGAGGGCACAGGGCAGATAGTGCAGGCAGCTGCTAAAAGGGGAGGAAGCCCAGTTTTCCAGCCAAGGCTCAGGCTGCCTGGACCAAGAAAGGGAAGTAAGCTGGGGCTGTACGCCAAGTTTCCATTACAGAGCCCTTCTCGGCCTCTGCTGCTCCACCAAGCTCTCACCCTCTCTTCCTCACCCCCATCCTGCTCATGCTCTCCCCTCACTTCCTCCTCCTCCCCCAGACTGGGGCTGGCAGAGCCCAAGGATTTCTGGCACCAAGAGTGGATATTCCTGGGTGCCCATGACACTCAGTCTCAGCTCAGAGCCTTCAGCCTGGGGCTAGCCCAGTCTCCCACAGACCTCCCAGCCTATCCCAAGTCCTGGTCCCAGACCCTGTGGGGAGGTGGGCCTGTCTACCCTCTGGCAGGGGCACTAAGTCATCCAGTTGGACAGCAGGAGGAGCAAGTCAGCTCCATTAGCAGCAGAAGTATT